TGCAGATGCGGATGGTGAAATGTCAGTGCCGGCTACACTTGCATACAAGCGTAGCCAACGCAACAGTGAGACGGTGTTATTATAATGCAAAAAAAACAACAAACAAACTGCAAATGCGTATTAATACAAATCAGGCCACCACTTGAATGGTTCATTAGGAAAAGAAAGGTCATGAGAGTCACTGTTTTACTTGGGCTCACTCATTGGAGAGAACACTTGAGATGACAGGAAATGATCCAGCGTTCTGTCAGTGTAATGGTTTGGCATTAGAATGATGGTGAGTCAGACAGAAGGACAGGTGATGATGACCAGTGTGGTGTTTAGTAAAAGAGAAAAAAAAAGGCAAATCAATAGTAACAGTAACAGTCTGCCAATGAGGAAAGAGTTAAATGTAGGTTTGAGGAAATTTCACCAGTAAGACATTGTGTGTGTGTGTGTGTGTTTGTCCCTCCAACTCCATAAAGTGTCCCAGCCCCCCCACTGTGTCAAGGTGCACCCTGGTCTGACCAATCATAAACAACTGCCTGTCTTTCCTCACCTCACCTTTGACCCCAAGTGCATCTGACAGCACCTTCTGCACACATGAAACGAAAATATGAAGACACAGAGAGGGTGTGTGGGTGAAGAGCCAACATTTGTCTAGGTGATATCAGTGAGTGTACGAACATGTGTTTTACCTTGAGACTCTGTGGGTCGTTGGTTGGACTGATGGAGTAATTAGACAGTTTGGGTCCATCAGTATCTGGACGCTCATAGAAGATTAGCTGACCTGATCCATTCTAACAATAAAACATAATACACAACATTATGTACCTGACATTTCCAAAATAATTTCATTGGCATACACGGCTGCATGTACCATAAAGTCTCTTAGCTTCAGTCGTCCGTTGATGCAGTTGAAAAAGGTGTCGTGCTGCCTGATGTGGACAGACTCTGACTGGCTGAGCACGGCTGCCTTCTCTGCAAACTGTGAAAAATCACTCACTCTGGCCTTGATCTCCACGTTAGATGGCATGGCTGTACTGCACCAGTCCACAACGGAGGTTATTAACTGTCTGTGGAAAAACATCACTATCATTAAACAACCTTCTGTTTAAACTAATAGCATAGCATAGCATGCTTACCAGATATACAGGGGTTGGACAATGAAACTGCAACACTGGCCAATTTAGTGTTGGAGGTTTCATGGCTACATTTGACCAGCCTGGTGGCCAAAATCCATTGATTGCACATTGCACCAGTAAGAGCAGAGTGTGAAGGTTGAAGTAGCAGAATAATAACACAGTTTTGCTTAAAATATTGCAATTCACACATCATTATGGGTGACATGTCAGAGTTCAAAAGAGGACACATTGTTGGTGCACGTCTTGCTGGCGCATCTGTGACCAAGACAGCAAGTCTACGTGATGTATCAAAAGCCACGGTATCCAGGGTCATGTCAGCAAACCACCAAGAAGGACGAGCCACATCCAACAGGAGTAGCTGTGGACGAAAGAGGAAGCCGGATTGTACCCCAAAAAACATAGAACCACAGGTGCCGAACTCACTGCAGAATTAAATGTGCACCTCAACTCTCCTGTTTCCACCAAAACTGTCCGTCGGGAGCTCCACAGCGTCAATGTACACGGCCGAGCTGCTATAGTCAAACCTTTGGTCACCAGGCGTTTCAGTTTCATTGTCCAACACCTGTAGTTGAAAACATTAATTCTTACGTTTCATTCGATGTGGTAAGGTATATCAATCACTGTTGTACAGACAAAGGTTTAAACTGCTACTGATAATTTAGATAAAATGTACTCGTTTTGACATGAATTTAAAAAAAATATTTCTATTACTATTTTACCTCTGGCACTGAACACGTTATATTTTATAACAAGATATTTGCGTACACTTTAGGGTTACGTCCACGCTCAAACTCATTTTATCAAGTGTATGTCGTAAAATCCGTCGGTTATAACAATAAATGTATCCCTATCGTCAGAGCAAACAGTAATAAAAAAAAGTCAAAATAGATGAAAATTTTACCTCTATTTTGAATTGTTTTGCCTTTTCTTACTGCGTCACACTTGACTTTACCGCCACACACAGTATTTCCGGGGGCGGATGAGAATACTGATCTGAGATCAGGTGAAATCAAGGGCCGTTGCATTACGAGTAGGCGAATAGAGAACAGAACTGACCATAGAACAGCAGTGCTGTAACAACGCGAGAGCAGATGAGACGTCAATGCTCCAGCTCCTGCTGACGCTTCTTCCTGATAAGAAAAGGTCTCAGTAGCGTCACCCCCAGGTCTGGAGGCCAAACCGTGAGAATTCCATTAACATAGAAAATAAATAAATCACATAAATAATAATGTAAGAACATATAAAATAAAAAATAACATATGAACACATGTAGAACAAAAGTAACTAAACAACTTGTATACATTAAAATAAAAATAAATGAATTGCCCATGTCAAAGGTCAATGGTTTTGGGTAGTTTGGCCTAATGGTTACAGAAATGTCATCGTGTTTGGAGGGTTAAGTGTTCAGGTTAACAGGTTAGATGCAGAAGGCATTTTCCATGCTGTAATACGTCAGACCAAAAGTATCTCTTCCTCATAAGTCAATCGGAAATTTGATTGATGAGCCACCGTTTGTAACAAAGGGCAACAAATATAGATGTTAGATGCTGATGTGATTTATTGGTGGTCAGACATCACAGACATTTAATGGTATGACATCATGTTGTGACCAACATCGTTTCTGTTTATAGTGTGTTTACCTCTACTTTTGTCTTTGCCACAGAGACACACGGACACTGTGGTGTGTGTCTGTGTGTGTGGGAGAGAGAGAGAGAGAGAGATAAAGAGAGAGAGTTGCCTGGCATCACTGGGCAGCACTAAGTGCGACAGCATTAGTGGGAGAGACAGACCGACACACCGAGTGAGAGGAGAGCATTTGTTGACTTCATTTGGCAGAAAACATGAGGAAACAACCAGAAGAAAAAGAACCCTGACGAAAATAACATCCGCCAGGAAACCAGCTGGGGTAAGTCATTTTTGCTGTTGTGATTTTGCTCCATCACTGATCAAACCTGATGTTCTTCTTCCTTGTCAGCTGTTGTCAGAATGACCGTCACCTATTCCAGCAAAGTTGCCAACGCCTCCTTCTTCAGTTTTCACCGCTTGCTGCTGCGCTGGAAAGGGAGCATTTACAAGCTGCTGTATCGAGAGTTCGCCCTGTTCGTCGTGCTCTACACCCTCCTCAGCGTTATTTACAGGTGGAGTGTGTGCAAGGACCAGTTGAATGTAACTTATTATCAGGAGAAATTGGCTTCAAAATATTTGCCATACAAAAAAAAAAAAAATTGGTTGGAGAATGGATGCAGAGCTTCTTGTCTTTTATTTTCTCCTTTGTTTATTTTGTATCTTCAGTAAATCTGACGTAAAAAGCATGAAAAGTAATAAAGTACTATAGACTTTTAAATAGTACAGTCATTTATTGATTATTATTTTTTATTGTTTTGTTGGAAGAACACCATTGTTCTAGGTCTTTATTTTGTTTCTACAATTTCTAAATTGATGTAACATTTCATTAGCGAATCATGTAGCAGCCGTCATAGAAACTCTGTTGATGTCGGTTGGGAACTCTCTGTGTCTCGTGCCCCTCCAGGTTTGCCCTCTCTGACCAGCAGAAAATACTCTTCGAGAAACTTTCACGTTACTGTGACAAATATGCCGAGCAGATCCCGGTCACCTTCGTCTTGGGTAGGTTTTAATATCTGTCTGACTGTTGGTGACTGTTGCTGCCTCACAGGAGGAGGGCGCTGTTAGGTTAAATCACATGGAAACGCATCTGAAACTGTGCTTTTGTGCCTGACTCAGACAAGTGGAGAGTTTGGTACTTTCATTAGCTAATGGAAACTGATCATTAACCAACAGGAAAAGGCTAAAAGCTGGAGATGCGTGTGTGTGTGTGTGTGTGTGTGTGTGTCTCCTATCCCTTCCTTGTCTCACTTACTTTGATTTGTATACTGTTGTGGGTGGTTTGTGTTCCATTGTAATTTTGAATTTTTCTAGTAGTTGTACATAAGTCTTTGTATTTTGGGGGTATTTAAATATTTAAAAAAAAATCAAAAATAATAAGTTAATGAGTTATCTTTTAGATCTTCAGAATAAAATCACAAAAAAAAAATCAAAAATAATAAGTTCTTTTAGATCTTCAGAATAAAATCACATACTATTTTAACAACGTAGGATGAAATAATCTGAGAGATTAGGGATGTCCGATAATATTGGTTGGCTAATATTATCAGCCCAATATTAGCATAATTATGTAATATCAGTAAGAACCGTTGTTGGTTTTTCCTCCGATGATGAAAACCTGATAAAACAATGCCTGGGTTTTGCCAGATTTGCTGGAATCGCACGTAGGGTCCTAAGACGTTAACCCCAGTTTTGCGGGCAAACAGTTGCATATATTAGTATCAGTTGACATCGGAAATCAAATGTTTGGACAATATCGGCAAAAAGTTAATATCAGACATCCCTAATATATAATCTGAGATTCTTAACAGAGACATTTTCCCCTCAGGTTTCTACGTCACCCTGGTGGTGAATCGATGGTGGAACCAGTTCGTGAACCTGCCATGGTTGGATCGACTCATGTTCCTCATCTCCAGGTACGTTAACTGACCATCTACTGAGTGAGTGCAGCCACAATCAGTTTAAATACAACAATGAAAAGTTTCACGTTTCTCTGTTTCCACTAGCTGTGTTCATGGTAAAGATGAATACGGGCGTCTGCTGCGCAGGACCTTGGTGCGTTATGTTAACCTGACGTCGCTGCTTATCTTCCGCTCTGTCAGCACCGCTGTCTGCAAACGATTTCCCACCATGGACCATGTGGTGGAGGCAGGTGAGAGAACCCTTGTCTTTCTGCATTATTATTATTATTATTATTATTATTATTATTATTATTATTATTATTATTATTATTATTATTATATATTAATGTTAAATACTACAAATATTGATGATGAGTTATTATAAATATTACCATTAACTGGTTTGACTAAAGGTAACCCAGTGATGGACTGTATTTAGTCTAATTTAATTAACTATAAATTCAAGATGATATATGACATTAGATTCTTTTTTTTTGCCGTCTTACAGCTGGGCTTCTCCAGCAGGTGGCGACCTTAGGTGACTGTCTATATGGCTAACATCAGAAGCCCACGCTGCTAGGAGATTGTAACAGATCGCAAGGAAATTGTTGATAATGTGGCCATTATGTTTTTTTAAAAAACCTTTTTGACTAAAATATGCACTTTTTAAATATTTTGTAGTTATCGTCATAGATTATACATCCAGAATGGTGAGCGCTGTGTGTCAGAGTGATGTCCGAATACATTTTTCAGGCATTTTTCGACCATAGCGACTCACAGGAGGAGGGTTACACGTGGTACTAGAAACCAGTTTGGACTATATGTCTGCTTGACTCATGCTCACTGAACAGTCAGACTAAGGTCAGCTGCCTCCTGACTGATTCTCTTCCGTCCTCTAAAGTCTGATGTTTCCTCTGAGATTTGCTGACTAGAGCTGCAGGAAGTTTGTGATAAACTTGATTAATCTTTGCAAAATTAAAAAAAAAAATCCTTCTCGGTTTCTAAACATTGACAGTAGCTTAGTTATGCATCATGTCTGTCGGTTGATTCTCTTGTTTTTGTCTATACCCCAGTGGGCTGTGTGTGCTGCAGCAGGTTAATTAGAGAGGTCCAGCTGTTCATATTCAAACTTCTAAGCCTCTTCTGGAACCTTCCTGGAACAGAGAGGACGTGCTGTATAATCCTTTCTGTAAATTGTGGATGAGGATCAGATACTCGAGGCCTAATTAATCTCTAAAGGCTGTGGAGGTCGTGAAACGTGAGGTTTCAACCACAAACTTTGACTTTTTAAAGGTGGTTGCTAGCGACAAAAATATTGTTGTCATCACATCATATTCCATATTTTGTAGCGGCAGTGTAGCGGTTATCACGCTTACACATCTGCCTTACAGGTGGAAGGCCCTGGGTTCGAGTCCCAGAGGAATAGCGCCTCCTGTGGCAGACTGTGTTAGTTTGCTAGGACAGAATAAAGGGACTTCAGTTGCATAAGGACTTTGTTTTTCTTCCTGTTTTTCCTCGCACTAACAGGATTCATGACTCCAGAAGAGAGGAAGATGTTTGACAACATCCGTTCTCCTCACCTGAAGTACTGGATTCCCGTGGTGTGGTTTTCCAACCTTGCATCTAAGGCTCGACAGGAGGGACGCATCCAAGACAGCATTGACCTGCAGACCATTCTCAATGTGACTACAGCCAAACATTTATCTGTAGAAGTTAGTGGTGAAAAGTTCACAATATAAATGTCATGGTTTTTATTGGACCAAACCAAGGGTGTCAAACATTTGGCCTGCAGGCCAAAATCAGCCCGCTAGGGCAGTATTTCTTTCCCCAGTTTTTGTTCTGGGGACCTATATTTTAAAAGTCACAAACCTTCACGACCCAAGTCAATAGACATTATTCATAAACACCTGGGAAACATGATGCGAGACGACCTAAAAAAAATCTCTTGCGACCCACCTGAGGGTCACGACACAGTCTTTGGGAAACAATGCGATAGGGGGGTTCAATCCGGCCCGCTTGAAGAATTTTGAAAGTGAAAAAAAATGCACAAACACTTTATATGTCTGTGATGTTTTTTCAAGTGAAATTTCATTAAAAACGCATACGATGTAGGCAAAAAAAGTATCAGGAAAAATTGGGTTTTCCATCTGAATACAGCCTGGATCATTTTAAGATTTTCATTCTCAAAGTAAATAGTCAAGGAACAGGAAATACCTAGGAGTCTTATAGGTGGAAGTGGAAAACAAATATATATATTTTCTTAGAAAGGAAAACTGCTCTCATGCACTTACGGAAAAAAAAAATCACAGAGAATCCTGTGAAGCCTATTAAGAGCCAGCTTACTGATGTTTGTGACCGCACAGAGCAGACATGTGGGTAATGTAACACCCAGCTGGCTCCCAAAAGGGCAAATGAGATGCTTCTTTCCAATCAGCCGCCTGTTCAGCTCCATCAATCTAAATTAGGCAGCTGGTGCCGAGCTGCCCAGCTTCCTAACGTTCCTTCTTCTCTTTTTTTTTTTCTTTTTTTTTAATTCTGCCCAGGAGATGAACGTGTTCAGGACCTGGTGTGCAACTCTGTTCGGCTACGACTGGGTCGGTGTGCCGCTGGTCTACACACAGGTCTGTCTTCTATCAGGTCTGGAGCAGATGCAGCAGCAGCTGTAATCACATTAAGTCGACATGGTCATCAACCTCTACCATTACTGTAACTTAATCAAAGAATGTAAAAAAAAAAAACACATCTCCTGTATTTTGTACATATATTTCTAACTCATCTATATATATTTTTTGTTTAGTAATGAGGTTAGGGTTTCCCCACATATTATAATTTGGTTTGTTGTAGATACTCGACGTATCTGTGACCAAATATCAAAACACTTTGTCTCTTTTTCATTAGGTTGTCACTCTCGCTGTCTACACTTTTTTCTTTGCTTCTCTGATTGGTCGACAGTTTCTTGACCCAGCGCGTAGTCAAAACAGCCCCGAGTTGGATCTCTACGTTCCCGTCTTCACCCTGCTCCAGTTTTTCTTCTATGCTGGCTGGCTCAAGGTTAGCTCCGCTCCCTGAACTGGGTTGTGCTTTGTGTAAAAACAGTACCAGAGCTACAGGTCAAGGTTTTTGCTACTGATTATGCCCTCTTTATCTACCCACCACTAGGTGGCAGAGCAGCTGATCAACCCGTTTGGAGAGGATGATGATGACTTTGAAGCTAACTGGATCATAGATAGGAACCTACAGGTGAGCAGACATCGAGGTCAGGCTGTCAGGACCCTAACCCTAACCCTAACCCGGACCAGTACAGTCACAACATAATGAACTATAATTAACAAGTTGTTATGTTTTAATGAAAATATAATTTTATAAAAAAAAAATCCTGAACATGAAGTGTTTGTGTATTTTTTTATTTTCAAATTCGTCAAGTGGGCCAAATTGAACTGCTTGGCGGACCGGTTTTGGTCCCCAGACTGTATGTTTGACACCCCTGGTCTAAGCAGTGTGCTTTTTTTCTATTTTTTAAAAATTAATTGGACTTAAAAATATATACATTCAATTCATTAAATATAACAGTAATGCAGTTTTTTTCTGTTAATCTGAATTCGTATTAATTTTGGCACCATCTTGTGGATTAGTTGAGGTACCTTTCAGCTAGAAGAAACAAATTATCTTTTTTTTTTTTTTTCTCTGACCTACATGTCGTCCATTTCCTAACCCATGCCACAGTCGTTCTTGACGGCCATAACACACCGTTCTCTCACGGTTCTTCGTCTTCTTGTTGACGTCTCCAGGTGTCGCTGTTGGCTGTGGATGAGATGCACATGAACCTGCCTCCGTTGAATAAAGACATGTACTGGAACGACTGTGACGCTCGTCCACCCTACACCCTGGCTGCTGCTGACTACTGCATCCCCTCCTTCCTCGGCTCCACCAGTGACATGGGGTCATTACACTCACAGTTCTACAAGATGATTTTTACCTCTGACTCTGTCCGCGTTAAGCCTTTATTACGCATCAAATATATATTTTTTTCCCCAAAGTAATTTAGCAAAATGAACTTCAATTTCTTTCAGACTCTCAGACATTCTGCAGTTGGAAGAGGCTGACATTCACGACAGTTGTCCGCAGCAAGACCAGTCTACGCTAGGTCAACGCCAAGAGTCGGTAAAAGCTGAACTTGTTGTACCTTGTGAGGTCAACTTTGTCCCCTAGAGGAGACAAATATGTTTATTACCATTGCAGGTTTTTGGCCGAGTTAGACGTCTTCTCAGTGTTCAAGAACCCCCTGACCTTCGTCCTCCACGACCTGTCTTTAAACGGCACAGCAGTGATGCAACGGGTAGCTTCTTCTCAGATGTTAGGTACAGAGAAGTACTTTATCTAAAGAGTAAAGAGGCTGTTCTCGTGCAGATTAAGACATTTTTAAATTTACTCATATTTTGTTCCGCACAGGGTGAATTCAGGACCAGGAGCTCCCTCCTCTTTTATCATCCCTTCTCCTACCATCGATACCTTATCCACCTTGAGGGAGGTCAGCAGCAACCCACCGTCCCCTGAACAGTCACCCTTTGATGTTTTCCCCCAGGTTGTTGTTAGCCCACCTTTGTTTAGTGACGCCTGTCACAAAGGGCCCTTTTTTGACAGCGATGGACTATCCAAGCCTTACAATGGACTGGGACATTCTCCCATTACTGAGAAAATTCCGGGATTGAAGACTCCAAGGTGATTAACATGTGGCTTTCTGAGCAAACTTTAAGGCTTTGTCCACACGGGAACACTGTCCACACACGTGTCGGATTGATAAATTGTAGGGATGTCCAATAATATTGGCCGGCCGATATTATCGGATATTATCAACAGATCAGTCAAATACCCATCGGCCGGCCGATATTATTGGATATTATCAGATATTATCAACAGATCAGTCAAATACCTCAGTGCCGTGAAGAACTTTTATTGAAACACAGATAAATAAATAAATATTACCAGGCACTCCATAGTATTTCAATTCCGTCCCCTAGGGGGCAGAAAATAATTGAGAACCACTGTTTTAACCCATCACCTTAGTGAGCAGCTAACACTTAACTTCCGCCACTGCCCCGCTTACATTAGTATTGGTTGATATCGGAATCGGAAATTCGCCACTTCCCCGCTTACATCAGTATTGGTTGATATCGGAATCGGAAATTAAATGTTTGGACAATATTGATATATTGAATATTGAATATTGAAAAAAAGTTAATATTGGACATCACTAATAAATAGTGTTCTCCAAGTGGAACTTGGCGAAACCGATGTAATACATATGCCACACCTATATGTGGTGCTGTAAACAGACACAATTTTGCATGTGTCTCAGATGCTATTGTACATAACAAAGGCTGATGAGGTTGTGTTGCAATGCTGCTAATTAGCCTAGCAGCACCTGCAGCACAACCATAACTCTGTACTGGCCATTCATTGTTGTTGTTACCGCCTACAGCTGACAGGCCATGACGATAACGTACTCTACTGTTTCGACCTAATAACATTCCTGTGTGGACATGTCCTAAATGCTGTGGTCATTTTTCTCACTCTTTTATGTCCCCAGAAGTAACTCTTCAGTTTGCTGCTCCCCAACTCAATTAGGACCAAAGAAATTCCGCTGGACAACATTTGGCACCAACAAGTATCCGCCATTTAAACCACGGCGGCGCCAGTTCTCTCTTCAGTTTTCCAGGCAGGTGTCAAAGGTGTCGGTATGCAGCCTACCCAGCCCCAAGGGGCTTGGGAGGCGTAAACTAGGACTGGCTCGTTTCAAATCCAAACCATCTCCGGGTCAAACGACTGACACGCTGCAGCTTCCTGACCTTGAGTATGAACACAGTTTCCATGGCACGGCAGAGACCGAGGACGCTGAGAGGAGAGTCAACGGCAAAAACGAAGAGAGCCCAAACATCAACAACAATTCCTAGTTTTTGAGGCTTAAATAGTAGTCGGTCACATTAAAACAATATATGACTAAACTGAAATTAAAAAAAACAAACTTTTATTGCGAAGTCTGGATCAATACCAAGACACTAAAAATGGATTAGCGACTTTGGGCTACTATCTGATTAAATGTATTTCTAGGACAGGAAGCTATAAAAAAAAAATAATGACGGTACATTAAATGAAGAAGTCCAAAACACCACAGTAATGGCTCCAGTCTGTATGTTTCAGGACTGAAGTGTTGTAATGTAACCTTATTGTATGGAGAGGCATTGATGGATAAATAGGTTTATACTGTTATATTTACTATCTTTTGTCTGTACTTAGGGTATTTATAAGGCCAATTATTTTCAGTGGTAGTACACAATGTGTACTGCTGTTCTGTAGGACTCAAAAAAGAGTAGTTTTTTTAAACAGTTTTCAAAACTACTACTACAGTTTTCCAACTAGGACTTACACAAAAGTTTATCATTCTAATAACATTATAAAGACTGAATTCAACGTGTCATAATTCAAATCACAGACAATGATGCACAGCTGACACTTTATATACAACAATGGGGAAAAAAATGTTTTCCTTGCTGCACAACCAGTTAAAAAACAAACAAAAATTGGATTTATTTTATGGATCGGTTTTGTGCTTAGAACTTGAGAAATAAAGGTTTACCATTCTTTTCTAACTTTGCATTTATCTGATTTGTACTACTAATACTACTCTCTCGCTTTCACTCTCTCTCTCACTCACTGAAAGTTAATGTTATAACCCACCATGTTAAAAAAAAGTGGTTTAAAGTTTTTAAAAAGTGTCTCTTTAGATATACTGTTGACATACCCAGCCGGTAACATTCATTCTTTCACTTTGTGACGATAAGCTTTTGTATCAAGTTCCATACCCCGTGAAACCACAGAGAGGCGCTGTTTGTTCAACTACCCTTGCGAGTTTACTCTGGACACAGAAAGAGATAGAGTAAATCACTCTCTGGTGGCCACTCTCTGCCTATGAATACTTAGACACAATGAAGTCGAGTTCTACTAACTAGTTATTGTTTTTTTTTTATTTCTGAAGAAGCTAAGACTTGGTTTACCTGCATACAGTGCTGCAGACTGGACAGCTGATAAAAGTGAAAGGTGGAGAATGACAGGTTGAACATGTGTGAGGACATACATCCTGTCAGGTGTGTATGAAGGAAGCCTGATGAGAAAAAAAGTGATTGAAAAAATAATTTATTATTAAGTAATTTAGAAATCTGAAGTTGCAACGCTGATTATTACAGTCATACAGTATAACAATTGGAGCCTCACTTGTCTCAGTGTAATTAATATATCTGTTATTTCATATGTGTAGATACATATAGCATATTAACTGTTTTAAAGACATTTTTATGGTGAGGATTTGACAAAGTTGTCCAAAATACAGTTTTATTCGTATAATATTTGCACCAACCCTTTAAAAACCTCTCGTTTTGGTCTTTTAATCGCACCATAGATGCAGAAAAGGATTCTACAAACAAAATAAATGTTTCATTTTGTTTTTAGAATCTCCTTTTGTTTGTGCTGTAACGTAATATCTCACAATAACTGTTTCCGCGTTTTCCCCGCGCATTGAGGGCAGCTCAGTTTGAAGTTTCAAATTGAACAAACGTCATTGGCCAGCACGGATTCAAATGCCTCCTCTAGACCAATCAGAACGCAGTGGGTTTCCGGCGTTGCGTATAAATGCACGAGTGCCAACTCCCAGACTTCACATCTCTTCCTTTGCTACAAGGTTAGTGATTCTTCTCTGAAATGGCTCGTACTAAGCAGACTGCCCGTAAGTCCACAGGAGGAAAGGCTCCCAGGAAGCAGCTCGCCACAAAGGCTGCCCGTAAAAGCGCTCCGGCCACCGGTGGCGTCAAGAAGCCTCATCGTTACAGGCCCGGGACCGTGGCTCTCCGTGAAATCCGTCTTTACGAGAACTCCACCGAGCTGCTCATCCGTAAGCTGCCCTTCCAGCGTCTGGTCAGAGAAATCGCCCAGGACTTCAAGACCGACCTGCGCTTCCAAAGCTCCGCCGTCATGGCTCTCCAGGAGGCCAGCGAAGCATATCTGGTGGGTCTGTTCGAGGACACCAACCTGTGCGCCATCCACGCCAAGAGAGTAACCATCATGCCCAAAGACATCCAGCTTGCTCGTCGTATCCGCGGAGAGAGAGCATAAACTGACCGAGACTACTGTAAACACAACGGCTCTTTTAAGAGCCACACAACTCTGGTCGAGGAACAACCACACTCACTATCTGATGTGTAACAAAGTGAACACAAATATCCAGTGCGAAAATCTGTTTATCAATCAATTTAAAATAATAGTAAATGTGATTGATTACTCACTCTGGAAGCCATGACAAAGCACTTAGACACAACACAATTAGTTTAGATATAATCGAACATTGATTTTGCTGTGCCGTCTCACAGACACGAGGCGGCTCCAAGAGCCCTTTTCCCCCACGTGTAAGAGCACATCGGCATGGAAAGATTTACCACAGACTACCACACGAACGGCTCCTTAAAAGACGTGCGCTTTTATAACAGTGTTTCATATATTGAATAGAAGCCTAAACAATAGCACAGAAAATACATACAGATGAAAATATATAAAAACCGATAACAGATGAAAATATTTGTATTGTATTGCTTACACCCATTGCAGCACCCTATTCCACGTTATGTTGACGCTATATATTTAAGAACACGCAGTATAGTATTATAACATTAACGTTGTTATACGTTAAGTTCAACTCCAAGAATTCTTGTAGTAACTAACGAACGGTCAACAAAGCATGATTCATCTACAATGAAGTGTGTCATATTTAAACGAAGAGCTACTGTTTATATAATGCAGTGGAAATTAAAGTAAATACTTATAAAACAAAAAATCTTTGTTGTTGTGGGTGGCAGAGTTGTACATCAACGTAGCTGTAAGGAAGTAATAGTAAATAACCAACTCACGTCAACAAACACACACATCTTGCACAGTTAAAATTAAGCTATTAAAACACTTGTCATGTTTGTTTGTTTTTTTTACTTTGTTTTAACCTAATAATCATCTTGTACAGTTAAAATTAAGCTATTATTATTACTAAGTTAATGAGACTTATAACAGAGACATGTTCTTTGTTGTTGTGGGTGGCTCTTAAAAGAGCCGTTGGGTCTTGGTGCGTTCAGGTACCGAGTTTAACCTCCGAAGCCGTACAGAGTGCGGCCCTGCCTCTTCAGAGCATACACCACATCCATAGCGGTCACTGTCTTCCTCTTGGCGTGCTCGGTGTAGGTGACGGCGGCACGGATCACGTTCTCCAGGAAGACCTTGAGGACACCGCGGGTCTCCTCGTAGATCAGGCCGGAGATACGCTTCACTCCGCCACGGCGAGCCAGACGGAGGATAGCCGGCTTGGTGATTCCCTGGATGTTATCACGGAGCACTTTACGGTGACGCTTGGCGCCTCCCTTGCCCGGACCTTTGCCTCCTTTTCCTCGTCCACTCATGTTTATCACTTGCTGCTAGCTGTAGGCTATGACAATGATAAAGAATGCTGCACTGGCGGAGAGCGCTCCTAAATAAGGAACGACGGAGGACGTGATAGAAAACCAAAGCAAAAACCGCTTACCTAAAATGACCACTAGATGGTGCATTAGAGTCAAAATTAATTCATGTACCACAGTGAATGTATGGATAGACGGCTTTTATTGATCCCATTCAGTTTCACCACAACCTGATACGTTACAGTTTAAAAAGCAATATCACTGACACTAATGGGTTTCAATACAAAATAACATTATAAAAAAGTAACATTTATGCATATTTAGATACAACACATCAATAACCCCTTCCAACAAACACAAGTGCACGGAACAGGGACACAGCTAACTTTCATCTCCATGTTTGAGAAAACCACCTACTCTGTATTCTGTGTACTTTTATTCTTAAACTTCAATTAAAAGTTAATATTTCATCAGATCTGTAATTGGAAATATTTCTGATAAATATATTCGGACTGTGAGAAGTTTGTGTTCTTCACTGTGGTCTGTGAGTGGCTCTGAAAAGAGCCGTTTGTTTGGTTGGCACGCCGCACTCTTCACTTCTTGGCTGGTTTCTTAGCTGCCGCCTTCTTCACTTTGGGACTTTTTGCTTTCAACACCTTCTTTGGAGCTTTCTTTGGTGTCGCCGTCTTCTTCGCGACCTTCTTCGGGCTCTTTGTCGCCTTTTTGGGGGCTTTCTTGGCAGCTGGAGCCTTCTTCGCGGTCTTCTTCGGTGTGGACTTGGCGGGCTTGGGCTTCTTGACCGTTGTTACTTTCTTAGCGGACACTTTCTTAGGTGTCGCCGTCTTCTTGACACTGGCTGCGGACACCTTCTTCTTCTGCACGGCCTTCTTTGGCTTCAC